GGGAGACGAGAGCACGGAGGAGATTGCGGGAGACGAGAGCACGGAGGAGATTCCAGGAGACGAGAACATGGAGGAGATTCCAGGAGAGGAGAGCACGGAGGAGATTGCGGGAGACGAGAGCACGGAGGAGATTCCAGGAGACGAGAGCACGGAGGAGATTCCAGAGACGAGAGCACGGAGGAGATTGCGGGAGACGAGAGCACGGAGAGATTGGGGGAGACGAGAGCACGGAGGAGATTGCGGGAGACGAGAGCACGGAGGAGATTCCAGGAGACGAGAACATGGAGGAGATTCCAGGAGAGGAGAGCACGGAGGAGATTGCGGGAGACGAGAGCACGGAGGAGATTCCAGAGAGACGAGAGCATGGAGGAGATTCCAGGAGACGAGAGCACGGGAGATTGCGGGAGACGAGAGCACGAAGGAGATTCCAGGAGACGAGAGCACGGAGGAGATTCCAGGAGACGAGAGCACGAAGGAGATTCCAGGAGACGAGAGCACGAAGGAGATTCCAGGAGACGAGAGCACGGAGGAGATTGCGGGAGACGAGAGCACGAAGGAGATTCCAGGACACGAGAGCACGGAGGAGATTGCGGGAGACGAGAGCACGGAGGAGATTGCGGGAGACGAGAGCATGGAGGAGATTCCAGGAGACAAGAGCATGGAGGAGATTCCAGGAGACAAGAGCGCGGAGGAGATTCCAGGAGACAAGAACACGGAGGAGATTCCAGGAGACAAGAGCACGGAGAAGGTTCCAGGAGACGAGCATGGAGGAGATTCCAGGAGAGAAGAGCACGGAGGAGGTGGTTCCGGGAGACGGGAGCATGGAGGAGGTTCCAGGAGACAGGCAGTTCCTCTAGGAGGGCTGGACAGGACTGTAGAAGGTCCTTAACCCATCAGCAGGACTGGTATCTGCTCCTTTGTACAAGGAGGAACAGGAGGAGCCCCGTCAGAGCCCTACAAAATGACCTCCAGCAGGCCACTGGTGGGAATGTCTCTGACCAAACAATCAGAAACAGACTTCATGAGGGTGGCCTGAGGGCCCGACGTCCTCTAGTGGCCCCTGTGCTCACTGCCCGGCACCATAGAGCTGGATTGGCCTTGGCCATTGAACCCCAGAATTGGCAGGTCCACCACTGGCACCCTGTGCTTCTCACAGATGAGAGCAGGTTCCCCCTGAGCACATGTGACAGACGTGAAACTGACATGTGACTGCTGGGATATTGGAGGAGTTGGGTCTCCTGATGGACGGGTTGCACCGGTGGGGGCCAATCCCCTCATAGACAGCGTGTCCTGGGTTCTGCGTCTTCCCATGTCGGCTCTGAGGACTCTGGCTGTATTCTGGTTATGAAGGTGTGATGTCATCGCTGTGCCCCCTCCCATGGACTCACCTGTTGTCTCTGTCTGTTGGCTGGTCCTCCTGGAGGTTCCCACATGATGGGGTAAGTCAGTGTCAGTCGGAGTTGGTGTCAGTCTGTGTCAGTTGATGTCAGTCAGTGTCAGTTGGTGTCAGTATCAGTCGGTGTCAGTCGGCGTCAGTCAGTGTCAGTTGATGTCAGTGTCAGTCAGTGTTGGTGTCAGTCAGTGTTGGTGTCAGTCAGTTTCAGTTGATGTCAGTGTCAGTTGATGTCAGTCGGTGTCAGTGTCAGTTGATGTCAGTCGGTGTCGGTGTCAGTTGGTGTCAGTGCAGTTGATGTCAGTTGGTGTCCGTTGATGTCAGTTGGTGTCAGTGTCAGTTGGTGTCAGTTGGTGTCGGTGTCAGTCAGTGTCGGTATCAGTTGGTGTCAGTGTCAGTTGATGTCAGTTGGTGTCAGTCTGTGTCAGTTGATGTTAGTGTCAGTTGGTGTCAGTCAGTGTCGGTGTCAGTTGGTGTCAGTGTCAGTTGGTGTCAGTTGATATCAGTCGGTGTCAGTCAGTGTCAGTTGGTGTCAGTTGGTGTCTGTTAGTTGATGTCAGTTGGTGTCAGTGTCAGTTGGTGTCAGTTTGGTGTCAGTTGGTGTCAGTGTCAGTTGGTGTCTGTGTCAGTTGATGTCAGTCGGTGTCAGTGTCAGTTGATGTCAGTCGGTGTGGTGGTGTCAGTTGGTGTCAGTGCAGTTGATGTCAGTTGGTGTCCGTTGATGTCAGTTGGTGTCAGTGTCAGTTGGTGTCAGTTGGTGTCGGTGTCAGTCAGTGTCGGTGTCAGTTGGTGTCAGTGTCAGTTGATGTCAGTTGGTGTCAGTCTGTGTCAGTTGATGTTAGTGTCAGTTGGTGTCAGTCAGTGTCGGTGTCAGTTGGTGTCAGTGTCAGTTGGTGTCAGTTGATATCAGTCGGTGTCAGTCAGTGTCAGTTGGTGTCAGTTGGTGTCTGTTAGTTGATGTCAGTTGGTGTCAGTGTCAGTTGGTGTCAGTTGGTGTCAGTGTCAGTTGGTGTCTGTGTCAGTTGATGTCAGTTGGTGTCAGTGTCAGTTGATGTCAGTCGGTGTCAGTGTCAGTTGGTGTCAGTGTCAGTTGATGTCAGTCGTTGTCAGTGTCAGTTGGTGTCAGTTGGTGTCGGGTGTCAGTTGGTGTCAGTGTCAGTTGGTGTCAGTTTTATATCAGTCGGTGTCAGTGTCAGTTGGTGTCAGTGTCAGTTGATGTCAGTTGGTGTCTGTGTCAGTTGATGTCAGTCGGTGTCAGTGTCAGTTGATGTCAGTCGGTGTCGGTGTCAGTTGGTGTCAGTGTCAGTTGATGTTAGTTGGTGTCAGTTGATGTCAGTCGGTGTCGGTGTCAGTTGGTGTCAGTGTCAGTTGATGTTAGTTGGTGTCAGTTGATGTCAGTCGGTGTCGGTGTCAGTTGGTGTCAGTGTCAGTTGATGTTAGTTGGTGTCAGTTGATGTCAGTCGGTGTCAGTGTCAGTTGATGTCAGTCGGTGTTGGTGTCAGTGTCAGTTGATGTTAGTGTCAGTTGGTGTCAGTCAGTGTCGGTGTCAGTTGATATCAGTCGGTGTCAGTCAATGTCGGTGTCAGTGTCAGTTGATGTCAGTCAGTGTCAGTTGATGTCAGTGTCAGTTGATGTCAGTCAGTGTCAGTTGATGTCAGTGTCAGTTGATGTCAGTTGGTGTCAGTCAGTGTCGGTGTCAGTTGATATCAGTCAGTGTCAGTTGATATCAGTCAGTGTCAGTTGATGTCAGTCAGTGTCAGTTGGTGTCAGTTGGTGTCGGTGTGTTTATGTCGGATCCTGTCTGGGTACAGGTGACAGATATCGGTGGGACATGTCAGGAAATGTTGGGAATTTGTTGCCCCGATGAGGGCGATGAGCCCAGAAATGAGACGATTCGGTTTTCCTTCGGCCATGAAGAGTTAATGACAGAACTGTGTATAACAGGGCGGGGGGAGGGGAGGAGGTAAGTAGTCTGTTATAGGGTGGAGTCCCCCCTCCCCCTCCTCTTCCTGGATTGCAGCTCAGACAGACGGACAGACAGGGCTACAGATTGTCATCAGGTACAAGGAGGTGACCCCACCGGGGACTTCTGGTAGAGGCGCACTGATGTGGTCACGTGGGGGGGGGAGGGGGTCCTGTCCTGGATATGAAGGGGGATGTTTCTGGTATTAGAGGAGGAAGGGCGGGTGGTATCCTGTGTTGCTGTTACTCATAGGTGGATAACTCCCATCATCTACAACTCCTCTCTATCCTGTACAACTTCTGCCATCCTTGGCTCACTACAACTCCCACAGTCCTCCACTCTTGCCTATGGTTCACTAGGACTCCCACCATTTATGGTTGACTACAACTCCCACCATTTCCATTCCCTCCTATGGCTCACTACAACAACTCCCACCCATTTATGGTTGACTACAACTCCCACCATCCTCTCCCCTCACTACAACTCCCACCATTTATGGTTTGACTACAACTCCCACCATCCTCTCCCCTCACTACAACCCCCGCCATCCTCTCCCCTGTCACTACAACCCCCACCGTCCTCTCCTGTGTCACTACAACCCCCGCCATCCTCTCCTCCTCTCACTACAACCCCCCGCCATCCTCTCCCCTCACTACAACCCCCGCCATCCCTCCCCTCCTCCTCTCCCCTCACTACAACCCCCCGCCATCCTCCCCTCACTACAACCCCCGCCATCCTCTCCCCTGTCACTACAACCCCCGCCGTCCTCTCTCCCCTGTCACTACAACCGCCGCCATCCTCTCCCCTGTCACTACAACCGCCGCCGCCCTCTCCCCTGTCACTACAACCCCGCCGCCTCCTCCCCTGTCACTACACCCCCCCCCATCCTCCCCTGTCACTACAACCCCCACCATCCTCCCCTGTCACTACAACCCCCGCCATCCTCTCCCCTCACTACAACCCCCGCCATCCTCTCCCCTCACTACAACCCCCGCCGCCCTCTCCCCTGTCACTACAACCGCCGCCGCCTCTCCCCTGTCACTACAACCCCCGCCATCCTCTCCCCTGTCACTACAACCGCCGCCGCCCTCTCCCCTGTCACTACAACCCCCGCCGCCCTCTCCCCTGTCACTACAACCCCCGCCGCCCTCTCCCCTGTCACTACAACCCCCGCCGCCCTCTCCCCTGTCACTACAACCCCCGCCATCCTCATCCTGCATGGTACACACGGCCATCATCATCATTTCCCTTGCTGTCAGGATGGTGGCGCTATCCCCTCCCAGGTGATGACTGGCTGATCTGCCCCATTACCCAACAGCATTGTGTGGGAGGAGATGGTCCCCCCCCCGGGCGCCCCCCCCAGGATTTGCTGACTGGTCACTTTCCAGGAGGAGTTGTCACTGTTTAACCAGCAGACTCCCCGGAGAGATCCGATCCGTGTGCTGGGGGACCAGACTGACCACATTGTATCTGTGTGCGTCCGGACAGCCCCGGTGTGGTCAGAGGAATGTGGGGGATGGAGAGAGTGTCCATGGTGGACGGTCTGGCAGGTAGGTCGTGTCTCTTTGTGTGTAACATGTCCTCCTCTTGTCCCTCATGTCTGTCTGTCTCGGAGCAGTGGGCCGGAGACGTTTCTCGGAGAACATGGCGCAGCTGACCCAGGACCTCGGCACGGCCTTCTTCCAGAAGCAGCAACTCAACGCTTCCATGGCGGACACCTTCCTGGAGCACCTGTGCCTGCTGGACATCGACTCGGAACCCCTGACTGCCCGCAACACCAGCATCATCTGCACCATCGGTAACCACTCCCCCTCTTCCCAGAAGACCCTGTGAGCCCCTCCCTAGAGAAGACATAATGGGGAGACCCAACCACCGACCATCTCCCCGGGGAAGCCGGTAATAGGGGGGGGACCCACCACCTCCTTTAGGCAGCCAGCAATGGGGGGGGATCCCCGGGGAAGCCAGTAATAGGGGGGGGGGCCCCAACCACCTCCCCGGGGAAGCCAGTAATGGGGGGGCCCCAACCACCTCCCCGGGGAAGCCAGGGGGGGGCCCCAACCACCTCCCCGGGGAAGCCAGTAATGGGGGGGGACCCAACCGGGGAAGCCAGTAATGGGGGGGGGGACCCAACCACCTCCCCGGGGAAGCCAGTAATGGGGGGGGACCCAACCACCTCCCCGGGGAAGCCAGTAATGGGGGGGGGGACCCAACCACCTCCCCGGGGAAGCCAGTAATGGGGGGGGGACCCAACCACCTCCCCGGGGAAGCCAGTAATGGGGGGGGGGGACCCAACCACCTCCCCGGGGAAGCCAGTAATAGGGGGGGGGCCCCAACCACCTCCCCGGGGAAGCCAGTAATGGGGGGGGGGGACCCAACCACCTCCCCGGGGAAGCCAGTAATGGGGGGGGGGACCCAACCACCTCCCCGGGGAAGCCAGTAATGGGGGGGGGGGGACCCAACCACCTCCCCGGGGAAGCCAGTAATGGGGGGGGGGGACCCAACCACCTCCCCGGGGAAGCCAGTAATGGGGGGGGGGCCCCAACCACCTCCCCGGGGAAGCCAGTAATGGGGGGGGGGGGGGGGGAAGCCAGTAATGGGGGGGGGGGGGGGGGCCCCAACCACCTCCCCGGAGAAGCCAGTAATAGGGGGGGGGCCCCAACCACCTCCCCGGGGAAGCCAGTAATAGGGGGGGGGCCCCAACCACCTCCCCGGGGAAGCCAGTAATGGGGGGGGACCAACCACCTCCCCGGGGAAGCCAGTAATGGGGGGGGACCCCAACCACCTCCCCGGGGAAGCCAGTAATGGGGGGGGGGACCCAACCACTTCCCCGGGGAAGCCAGTAATGGGGGGGGGACCCAACCACACTTCCCCGGTGAAGCCAGTAATGGGGGGGGGGACCCAACCACTTCCCTGGTGAAGCCAGTAATGGGGGGGGACCCAACCACTTCCCTGGTGAAGCCAGTAATGGGGGGGGACCCAACCACTTCCCTGGTGAAGCCAGTAATGGGGGGGGGACCCAACCACTTCCCTGGTGAAGCCAGTAATGGGGGGGGGGACCCAACCACTTCCCTGGTGAAGCCAGTAATGGGGGGGGGGGGGACCCAACCACTTCCCTGGTGAAGCCAGTAATGGGGGGGGGGGGGGGACCCAACCACTTCCCTGGTGAAGCCAGTAATGGGGGGGGGGGACCCAACCACTTCCCTGGTGAAGCCAGTAATGGGGGGGGGGGGGACCCAACCACTTCCCTGGTGAAGCCAGTAATGGGGGGGGGGGGGACCCAACCACTTCCCTGGTGAAGCCAGTAATGGGGGGGGACCCAACCACTTCCCTGGTGAAGCCAGTAATGGGGGGGGACCCAACCACTTCCCTGGTGAAGCCAGTAATGGGGGGGGGACCCAACCACTTCCCTGGTGAAGCCAGTAATGTGGGGGGACCCAACCACTTCCCTGGTGAAGCCAGTAATGGGGGGGGGACCCAACCACTTCCCTGGTGAAGCCAGTAATGGGGGGGGGGACCCAACCACTTCCCTGGTGAAGCCAGTAATGGGGGGGGACCCAACCACTTCCCTGGTGAAGCCAGTAATGGGGGGGGACCCAACCACTTCCCTGGTGAAGCCAGTAATGGGGGGGGGGGGACCCAACCACTTCCCTGGTGAAGCCAGTAATGGGGGGGGGGGGACCCAACCACTTCCCTGGTGAAGCCAGTAATGGGGGGGGGGAGCCAACACCGCCCCGGAACACTCTGGATGGGGGGGGGGGGGGGGAAGACCGAACACCTCCCCAGAACCCCCCCCCCGGGGGATGCAGCATGGAGGTCTTATGTGTCCTTGTGTCCCAGGCCCGGCGTCCCGCTCGGTGGAGATGTTAAAAGAGATGATAAAGGCTGGACTGAACATTGCTCGTCTGAACTTCTCTCATGGAACGCATGAGGTGAGCTGATGACAAGATGATACCAGACAGACAGTCCATGTGGCAGTTCCTCCACTAATCGGTCTCCATCTTCTAGTATCACGCAGGCTCCATCAAAAATGTCAGAGAAGCCACAGAAAGCTTTGCTACAAACCCCATGTTCTACAGACCGGTGGCCATCGCTCTAGACACAAAGGGACCCGAGATCCGAACTGGGGTCATCAAAACGGTGAGCAAGATGATGGAATTCACAATGTAGAGTTTGCATGGGATAGAAAGGGCCTTCACAATTAGGGGAAGACCTGGTTCCTCAAGTGTCTCTACAACTGGAGGAAGACCTGGTTCCTCATGGGTCTCTACAACTGGAGGAAGACCTGGTTCTCATGGGTCTCTACAACTGGAGGAAGACCTGGTTCCTCTCATGGGTCTCTACAACTGGAGGAAGACCTGGTTCCTCATGGGTCTCTACAACTGGAGGAAGACCTGGTTCCTCATGGGTCTCTACAACTGGAGGAAGACCTGGTTCCTCATGGGTCTCTACAACTGGAGGAAGACCTGGTTCCTCATGTCTTGGAAATTCGCTTTAACGAATTTCTCCTTACCGTGAGTACTCGCAGTTGGATGCGCAGAAATCCCCCACAAAGCTGTGCGAATCTCGCTTACCCACGACTGCAGCTAAACTACACGATTCCTGCCCATCCAAATGGGTTAGCTTCTGTTGAAATGTGGGGGAATTAGAGCTCTGTTACCCTAGAATGATCACACGACACTCTCAGGATGATGGTTGCAACTCACATAAAGCTGGTTTTCAGACCCAGCTCTCTGTTTTATTAAAAATACACACACGCCCCCCACATGAATAAAGTCAATCCCCTCCCACCGAACAATGCAATGGGGAGTGCCTATACACAAGATGTACATTCCAATTGGAGCATAGCCTTTCCTATTATCTATCACTGGTCCTCCCCCATGAGCCTTCTGAGGTCAGCAGACTTCCTCCCCTTCCCATGAGCCCTCTGTGGAGAGCATATCTCCTCCCCTTCCCCCCCATGAGCCATCTGAGGTCATATTTCCTGTCCTACTAGCTTCTATTGGTATGTAAATTCTTTGTACAAACACTCCCTAAAAATATCAGTCTGTACCTGGATGGGCCCGATACGATCTTTATTAAAACACATCCATCCAAGATACAGTTTCAAGTTGGTAATGGGTTGTAAGATATGCATAAGCCTACACGTGGGAGTTCACACCGCTTGGCGCCTTGCGTTATGAAGCCCATGTGGTACTATGCTGCTGATATGTGGATACAGGCCCACGGTCTACCTCCAGCGACATTCGCATGGAATGCCGTGGTGGCATACACGCCGGTCTATAAGCGCAGATCTGCCATCTCATCCATTACCAAGCTGAGTACTGTAATACATACAGTTGTGACCAAAATTATTCACCCCCACTGAAATTGAGTGTTTTGGCCAGTTTGACATTGCTTTTGATCATTCAGTCATCTTGCTTACATTTACATTAAAGAGGCACTTGTAGGTCAGACAAATATAACATAACAGTTATAATGAAATAACCACAAATGTCTTTTCTGTGCTCACAGCATTATCAGTTTTATTCAACCCCCAAGTGACATTCAATCTTAGTACTTAGTACAGCATCCTTTTACAGTTATAACAGCTTTTAAACGTGAAGCATAGCTTGACACAAGTGTCTTGCAGCGATCTACGGGTATCTTCGCCCATTCTTCATGGGCAAAGGCCTCCAGTTCAGTCACATTCTTAGGCTTGCGCACTGCAACTGCTTTCTTTAAGTCCCACCAGAGGTTCTCAATCGGATTTAAGTCTGGACTGCGATGGCCACTCCAAAATGTTCCCAGCCTTTCCTCTGCAACCATGCTCTAGTGGACTTGGAGGTATGCTTGGGATCATTGTCCTGTTGAAAGGTCCAACGTCTCCCAAGCCTCAGGTGTGTGACGGACTGCATCACGTTTCCATCCAATATCTCCTGGTACTGAAGAGAATTCATGGTACCTTGCACACGCTGAAGCTTCCCTGTACCTGCAGAAGCAAAACAGCCCCAAAGCATGATTGACCCTCCACCATGCTTCACAGTAGGCAAGGTGTTCTTTTCATCATAGGCCTTGTTCTTCCTCCTCCAAACATAGCGTTGATCCATGGGCCCAAACAGTTCTAATTTTGTTTCATCAGTCCACAGAACACTATCCCACAACTTTTGTGGTTTGTCCACATGGCTTTTGGCATACTGCAGTCGACTCTTCTTATTCTTTGGAGACAGCAAGGGGGTACGCCTGGGAGTTCTGGCACGGAGGCCTTCATTACGCAGTGTGCGTCTTATTGTCTGGGCTGAAACTTCTGTACCCACATCTGACAAATCTTTTCTCAGTTCCTCAGCAGTCACACGGGGACTTCTCTCCACTCTACGCTTCAGGTAGCGCACAGCAGTCGAAGTCAGCATCTTCTTTCTGCCACGACCAGGTAGCGTTTCAACAGTGCCCTTTGCCTTGAATTTGCGAATGATGCTTCCTAAGGTGTCTCTTGGTATGTTTAAACATCTTTGCAATCTTCTTATAGCCATTGCCCTTCCTGTGAAGAGAAATCACCTCTTCTCTTGTCTTCCTGGACCATTCTCTTGCCTTCACATGTTTGTAACCACACCAGTAAATGTCTAGAAGGAGCTGAGTATCACAGTCATTTTAAAGCTGCCTAATTGGTGCTTATTATGCTTGATTGCTGCTCGGTGACATCCACAGGTGTTTTCAATACCTGATGGAAAGCACCTGTATGAACCTCTGTTCTTCAGAGTGGTAGTCTTTAAGGGGTTGAATAATTGTGGCAATGAAGAAACCACATAAGAACCATTTACTACTGTATTACATAAACAATTGATGTCATTTTAGTTGCATTTGGGTAGTTACAACGTCCTTGTAGGATTTGATTCTGAATACAATTCCAAATGTACACTATAGTCCCTAAACCCCTTTACAGCATTGGGGGTTGAATAATTTTGGTCACAACTGTACATTGTACATGCGCATGGCCCAATTGCAGCCTTCAGAGCTTTAATTAAGCCACACGAGAGACATATGAATAACACGAATATATGACACATTTAAAGTTCGACCAACAATACAAAATTTCCATGACACTCATGGGTCTCTACAACTGGAGGAAGACCTGGTTCCTCATGGGTCTCCACAGCTAAGGGAAGACCTGGTTCCTCAAGTGTCTCTACAACTGGAGGAAGACCTGGTTCCTCAAGTGTCTCTACAACTGGAGGAAGACCTGGTTCCTCAAGTGTCTCTACAACTGGAGGAAGACCTGGTTCCTCAAGTGTCTCTACAACTGGAGGAAGACCTGGTTCCTCAAGGGTCTCTACAACTGGAGGAAGACCTGGTTCCTCATGGGTCTCTACAACTGGAGGAAGACCTGGTTCCTCATGGGTCTCTACAACTGGAGGAAGACCTGGTTCCTCATGGGTCTCTACAACTGGAGGAAGACCTGGTTCCTCATGGGTCTCTACAACTGGAGGAAGACCTGGTTCCTCATGGGTCTCTACAACTGGAGGAAGACCTGGTTCCTCATGGGTCTCTACAACTGGAGGAAGACCTGGTTCCTCATGGGTCTCTACAACTGGAGGAAGACCTGGTTCCTCATGGGTCTCTACAACTGGAGGAAGACCTGGTTCCTCATGGGTCTCTACAACTGGAGGAAGACCTGGTTCCTCAAGTGTCTCTACAACTGGAGGAAGACCTGGTTCCTCAAGTGTCTCTACAACTGGAGGAAGACCTGGTTCCTCAAGTGTCTCTACAACTGGAGGAAGACCTGGTTCCTCAAGTGTCTCTACAACTGGAGGAAGACCTGGTTCCTCAAGTGTCTCTACAACTGGAGGAAGACCTGGTTCCTCAAGTGTCTCTACAGCTAGGGGAGGATCTTTGTTCCTCATGGGTCTCCACAGCTAGGGGAGGGCCTTGGTTCCTCATGGGTCTCCACAGCTAGGGGAGGGCCTTGGTTCCTCATGTTTGGTTACTTGAGGTACTATTCATTATAGCTGTCAGGCTTTGGCAGGTGATGGTGGTAGCTGCTAAGTGGTCACACGTAATATGTGTCTGAAATGGCTGTAATGTCATGTTACAGACTCCATATTGGTCATTCTTGGACCTCTGTCATCTTGCAGGGTGAAAATGCTGAGGTGGAGCTGGTGAAAGGTACCGTCATTAAAGTGGTGACAGATGACGCTTTTCGGGAGAAGTGTGATGAGCAGATCCTCTGGGTAGACTATAAGAACATCTCCAAGGTGGTGAAGGTTGGAGGACGGATCTTTGTGGACGATGGACTCATCTCACTGCTGGTCAGAGAGATCGGTAAATGGGGGTGATCGGGGGGGGGGGGGGGGGGGTGGAGGTTTTTTGTATCTGAACATCTATCATACCCATCAGAATATCATTTCATTGGTTAGAGATTCTGTTGTACACAAAATGACTTCCCACAAGTATTGGCACGTGACCTCCTGGGGGTGGGGCTATGGGGTCTAAGCTGATGGAAAGGGCAAACCTTTTTTAAAGCTGAACTGCAGAACAAATTCCTACATACATCTTCCAAAGGATTTGTATTGGTCCATCCAGTCCTGGGATATACACAGCTCTGTCTGGCAGGACAGGAGACCTGATTTTGTTTCTCTGCCGCAGTAAGTAACATCTACAGGTCTCCTCCCTCCCCCAGCCTCTGACTGGATGGGGGCCCTTGCTGGGATAAATGGTGACAGAGGTGTAATAGTGTGAAGAGCTGAGTGATGGATCCGACTGAGGGGGTGACTCCAATGTTCTGATCGCGGGGCAGGAGGTTATTTTTTTTGTTTTCTCCCTCTTTAAAGGTTCTGACTTTTGTCTGGCGGAGGTGGAGAACGGGGGCAATCTGTGCAGCAGAAAGGGGGTGAATCTGCCAGGGGCTGAGGTGGACCTCCCTGCGTTGTCTGAGCGGGATCGCCTGGACCTCCAGTTTGGGATTGAGCAGGGAGTTGATATGATATTCGCTTCATTCATCCGGAAGGCGCAGGACGTACATGCCATCCGCCAGGTGCTGGGCGAGAAGGGGAAGAACATTCGGATTATCAGCAAGATAGAGAATCACGAGGGGGTTCGGAGGTGAGGGCAGAAATCGTTCTGGAGCACTGACACCCCTGTAGAGGGTCTCCCTCATCTCCTCCTAGTCCATCTACATAGAGGGTCTCCTCCTAGGCCATCTACATAGAGGGTCTCCTCCTAGGCCATCTACATAGCGGGTCTCCTCCTCCTATGGCCATCTACATAGCGGGTCTCCTCCTCCTATGGCCATCTACATAGCGGGTCTCCTCCTCCTATGGCCATCTACATAGCGGGTCTCCTCCTCCTATGGCCATCTACATAGCGGGTCTCCTCCTCCTATGGCCATCTACATAGCGGGTCTCCTCCTCCTATCCTACATAGCGGGTCTCCTCCTCCTATGGCCATCTACATAGCGGGTCTCTCCTCCTCCTATGGCCATCTACATAGCGGGTCTCCTTGGTTTGTTTCCCCTGTTCTGTTTATCTCTGTTCATGTTGACCTCTTTCTGTATAAGGTTTGATGAGATTCTTGAGGCCAGCGATGGTATCATGGTGGCCCGCGGAGATCTTGGCATTGAAATCCCAGCAGAGAAAGTGTTTCTGGCACAGAAGATGATGATTGGACGGTGTAACCGGGCTGGAAAACCAGTAATTTGTGCAACACAGGTAAGACGAGCGCCCCCACCCCCACCTTTATCCTTCCTGTACAAATGAAAAGCATTTCCAAAAAGTCAAAAAAATCTGATCTTGTCAGAGCCATGCTGGCAGTGTGGTGGCTAGGAGGTTGAAGGTCTCTACTCCTCTTCTTCTGCCTTAGCTGAGGTTGAAGGTCTACTCCTCTTCTTCTGCCTTAGCTGAGGTTGAAGGTCTACTCCTCTTCTTCTGCCTTAGCTGAGGTTGAAGGTCTACTCCTAGGTCTACTCCTCTTCTCTGCCTTCTGAAGGTCTACTCCTCTTCTTCTGCCTTAGATGAGGTTGAAGGTCTCCTCCTCTTCTTCTGCCTTGGAGCTGAGGTTGAAGGTCTCCTCCTCTTCTTCTGCCTTAGCTGAGGTTGAAGGTCTCCTCCTCTTCTTCTGCCTTAGCTGAGGTTGAAGGTCTCCTCCTCTTCTTCTGCCTTAGCTGAGGTTGAAGGTCTCCTCCTCTCTTCTGCCTGGCTGAGGTTGAAGGTCTCCTCCTCTTCTTCTGCCTTAGCTGAGGTTGAAGGTCTACTCCTCTTCTTCTGCCTTAGCTGAGGTTGAAGGTCTACTCCTCTTCTTCTGCCTTAGCTGAGGTTGAAGGTCTCCTCCTCTTCTTCTGCCTTGGCTGAGGTTGAAGGTCTCCTCCTCTTCTTCTGCCTTGGCTGAGGTTGGCTGAGGTTGAAGGTCTCCTCCTCTTCTTCTGCCTTGGCTGAGGTTGAAGGTCTCCTCCTCTTCTTCTGCCTTGGCTGAGGTTGAAGGTCTCCTCCTCTTCTTCTGCCTTGGCTGAGGTTGAAGGTCTCCTCCTCTTCTTCTTCTGCCTTGGCTGAGGTTGAAGGTCTCCTCCTCTTCTTCCGCCTTGGCTGAGGTTGAAGGTCTCCTCTTCTTCTTCCGCCTTGGCTGAGGTTGAAGGTCTCCCCTTCTTCTTCTTCCGCCTTGGCTGAGGTTGAAGGTCTCCCCTTCTTCTTCTTCCGCCTTGGCTGAGGTTGAAGGTCTCCCCTTCTTCTTCTTCCGCCTTGGCTGAGGTTGAAGGTCTCCCCTTCTTCTTCTTCCGCCTTGGCTGAGGTTGAAGGTCTCCCCCTTCTTCTTCTTCCGCCTTGGCTGAGGCTGAAGGTCTCCCCTTCTTCTTCTTCCGCCTTGGCTGAGGCTGAAGGTCTCCCCTTCTTCTTCTTCCGCCTTGGCTGAGGCTGAAGGTCTCCCCTTCTTCTTCTTCCGCCTTGGCTACCCTGGATCAGGTGCTCCTGCTCCTCTGATGTCCTTTGTTTCCGTGGCCTGATCTACACTTCTCTCTCCTGTAGATGCTGGAAAGCATGATCAAGAAGCCACGTCCCACCCGAGCCGAGAGCAGCGACGTGGCCAACGCCGTGCTGGACGGAGCCGACTGTATCGTTGTCAGGGGAGACGGCCAAGGGTCTGTATCCAGTCGAGGCGGTTCAAATGCAGCACGCGGTGAGTCTCTTATCAAAGTGAGAACTCTGAGCTACAACCAGGCAGTCCATCACAGCAGATCTGCCAATGTGTGGCACGTCTTGGTGGAAAGACCAGTAGAGTAACACCTTAATTCCTCCCTCCGGCCTTCCTTCATTCTGTCTTGAACTGTTGTGCCGGCTCCTCTCCTGGACTGGAGCTTCTCACAGTGTGCATTAGAAGCTGCAGCAAGTCAGAGCTCATTTCCTGGCTGGAGGACGTCCAGTATCATCTAGGTCTTTCCTCCCCAGACTGACTGGACCCTTTTATTCATTGGAGGACGTCCAGCATCATCTAGAGCAAGGGATGGCAAAATCTAAGCAGATGAAACTGCAGCTGTAAGTCTGTAGGGTGTAGTTCCCGTATTGTGTCACAGCCGCACAGAGATGGCCGGGGGGTGGGGTGTGACTTCATGGGGGGGAGGGGGGGGGTGACTCTGGAGCCGTCACAGGGATCTGGATTCAAAGTCCAGAGATCATATTTGTTACAGAATTTCCTGAGGTTGGGTTCCTTAACCTGTGCTGTGCGGGACTACAATGCACACCAGTCCACGTGTCTGAGGGCATATTGTCCATATCGGCCAATCCGCTGGTTGCCTCCGGCAGGAGGTTTCACTAAATGGGATTTCAGGAGGAAGGGAGAGCAGTCTTAAAGGGGAACCCAAGACATCTCCCTGCCCCCTCTCCGCTCCATTGGCCTCAGGGTGGGGTAGCTTGCTGAGATCTCATACACTCTGTTGTTACAGATCGCTCGGGAGGCCGAATCCGCCATCTACAACCAGCAGCTGTTTGAGGAGCTGCGCAGGCTGACCCCGCTGACCCAGGACCCCACAGAGGTCACCGCCATTGGAGCCGTGGAGGCCTCCTTCAAATGCTGCGCTGCGGCCATCATCGTCCTCACCATATCCGGCAGGTATGGCACGGACAGGTGCGGATTGACAACTCATGGGGCCCCCGGGCAATAGGGGATCATGGGGCCCCTGTGTCCTTGCCCAAACTCAAAAAAGCCTATGAAAAAGGAACCAGGGGCATCTCATGGGGCCCCCTATTGACCCCAGGCCCTTGGGCAGTGCCTGAGTTTCCAAATGGTAAGTCCGCCCCTGGGCACGGAAGGGACTTCTCCAGGACATATCAATCTGTTGGAGGGTTTGTTTGGTCCTTTAAGTCTGAGGGTCACATGCTGCCCTCTGGTGTTTGAAGTGTGGTCCTCAGGCCTCAGCGGTCAGCAGTGGGAGCAATGATTGTAAAGGGGCCCATTATAGCAGCTTCATGTCTCCAGTGTGATTGCATTCTACATCAGGAGGTCTTCAGTCTAGGAGGATGGTCTTCTGTGGCATTACACATGGTATTCTGTGTGGCCCTATGGAGACGTCCGTGGGAGCAGGAGGCCCCTTTACTCTGGAAGATGACAGCCACTGCTGTAAAGTGTCCATCCTTCCAGAGTGAAGTCATGAGGCCGGATGAGTCTTCCATCCTGCCTTCCGCCCAGCCAACCAACCCTCCACCCTGCAAGTCCATGAGTGAGGTCTGCCCAGACAGAACCACTTCAGCCACTGGAATTAGGATCCATCTGTACAGGAGGGGCCCATGACTGATTTCACCTATCACAAAATGAAGGTCCGCAATGGCTGCCTTCATATGTCTTCAGTACTGGCCCCGGGCCCCACAGAAGAGCCCAGAGGTTGAGAGGTGAAAATGTGTCTCCAAAGGTTCCTGAAACATTTTGGCCCCCTGATCACCGTGCAGATGACAGGTCCTCCTCTGGGTCTTGTGGTGGAAGGGATGTTGGGGTCTGGGCCTTCTATAGAGAGCTGCAGATACATGACTAAGGCCGAAGGTGCTTACACATAGATAATTTCCTGAGCCAAGAAGGGTCCCGGGGTCACCCCCAATGGATTCCATTGTAATTCCTGAGCCAGGAAGGGTCCCGGGGTCACCCCTAATGGATTCCATTGTAATTCCTGAGCCGGGAAGGGTCCTGGGGGCACCCCTAATGGATTCCATTGTGATTCCTGAGCCGGAAAGGGTCCCGGGGTCACCCCCAATGGATTCCATTGTAATTCCTGAGCCGAGAAGGGTCCCGGGGTCAATGGATTCCATTTTGTTCCTCCAGCTGCTCTTCATTCTGATATATTGATTGGACTCCCCTCTCTCCCAGGAGTGCCCAGCTTCTGTCCCGTTACCGCCCCGCGCGCTCCCATCATCGCTGTGACCAGGAATGAGCAGGTGGCTCGCCAGGCTCATCTGAACCGCGGGGTGTTCCCCGTACTGTACCGGGAGTCCCAGCTGGAGGTCTGGGCCGATGACGTGGATCGAAGGGTGCAGTTCGGCATTGAAGTTGGTAAGAGTGAAGCAGAGGGTTCTATAACTTACAATGTGTGATACGGCTCCGCCCCCCTTCACAGGAGGTATGGGGGAGGGGGATATGTATGTGTGTGGGGGTGCTCTGTATAGCAAAGACCCTCGTTTATTTTGGGGGGTGTTCTGTATGTGTATGGAAGGCTCCGTGTTTGTAGGGGCTCTGTGTTTATAGCAGGCCTTGTGCTTGGGGGGGGGGGGGGGGGCGGCATTGTGCCTGTATGTGTAAAAGGGGTACTCTTTGTGTTTGGGGGGGGGGGGGGGGGGGTCCTGTATGTGTATAGAAGGCCCTGTGATTATAGGGGAGGACACGGTGTGTTTGGGGGGTGGTATTGTGCCTTTATGGGGGAGGGGGTCCTGTATGTGTAGGGGAGGCCATTGTGTGGGGTGGAGGGGGGCTGCATGTGTAGAAGGGGTGCTCTTTGTGTATGAAGGGCCCTGAGTTTATTAAGGGGTGCGGTATATTGTATTTGGGGGTCTTGTATGTGTAATGGGGGGCATTGTGTGTGTGTGTGTGTGTGTGTGTGTGTGTGTGTGTGTGGTGTGACCTGTGCTTAGAAGGGGGTCTTTTGTCTGGGGGGGGGGGGGGGGTAGGTGTGTATGGGGCTGTCAGGCCAACCACGCTGTACCCCATTTTCTGTAAAGTCCGGCACACAGCTGCCATTTTTTTACTTTTGATCGCCTTTTCCATCGACTCGTTTTCCGGGTGATCGTTCGGTTTGGTTATAAATGTTTCCATTCTGATCTACAACTTCACATGAAAATATCCGAGTGAAATCGATGACTTGGGAACGCTAACCCGCCCGACCCCAGAAAATCATCAGACGACGGGAAGTTCTGCATCCTTCATCTTCACATCCGGAGACGGGATACTATAATTATTCTCAGTAGTGGTGTTACAATGTATCGTGTATAGATGATGGATGATGAATTGATGGAGATGATGAATACATTGATGATGGATATGATGATGACGGATACATTTATGATGATGGATACATTTATGATGATGGGAATACATATGAGGATGGATACATTGATGGTGAGGATGGATACATTGATGGTGAGGATGATACATTGATGGTGAGGATGGATACATTGATGGTGAGGATGGATACATTGATGATGGTGAGGATGGATACATTTGATGATGGTGAGGATGGATACATTTGATGATGGTGAGGATGGATACATTTGATGATGGTGAGGATGGATACATTTGATGATGGATACATTTGATGATGGATACATTTGATGATGGATACATTTGATGATGGATACATTTGATGATGGATACATTTGATGATGGATACATTTGATGATGGATACATTTGATGATGGATACATTTGGTGATATTGATGATTATGGATACATTGAAGATGGATACATTTGATGATGATGGATACATTTGATGATGATGGTGGATGGATACATTGATGGTGGATGGATACTATGATGAATGGATACATTGGTGATGGATGGATACATTGGTGATGGTGATATTGATGATGGATACGATGATGATGGATGATGGATACATTTGATGATGATTGATGGATGAATACATTGATGGTGGATGGATACTATTGATGAATGGATTGATGGATGGTGATGGATACATTGATGATGTGATGGATACATTGATGATGGTGATGGATACATTGATGGTGATATTGATGATGGATGGATACATTGATGATGGTGATGAATACATTGATGATGGTGATGGATACATTGATGATGGTGATGGATACATTGATGGTGATATTGATGATGAATACTTTGTATCTGACAGGGAAGGTCCGTGGCTTCCTGCACAAAGAGGACATCGTCATCATCCTGACGGGCTGGAGACCCGGATCCGGCTACACCAACATCATGCAGGTGGTCAGAACATCGTAATGCGATGACACCGGCAGACCCAGCTAACCCCCAGAGCTAGCACTCCACATGTATGTTTCCATGGTGACCCAATCATTAAACATTTCCACGGCTTTATCTGTTGTGTCTCTTCCTTGTCTGGTGACGTTGTATCCCCCCCCCCCCCCCCCCCCCCCCCCCCCTCCCCCGGCCGTCGCGGCAGCTGGACAGAGAAGGGTTGATGATTGAGGATTTAGTGAACGGAATTATCCCGTAACAGATTATTGGCCAATAAGCCGCCTGTACGTCTCGCCACACAGAGGGGGGCGGCAGCGAGCTTACGGAAAATGAGTTTAGTCGCCATCTGTCCGCAGCGCTCCTGAAATGGGTTTACGGGGTGATAACGCTGAGAGGGGGGCATTCGGCCTAATCCCATCCGGGGCTAATGACAGGGAAAGTCGTGTACCCGGGGGGGGGGGGGGGGGCCTCATTCCTGACCTCCTGTAATCCCTTTATGTGCAGAGAGGGACAGTTGTGACCATGGCTCCCCCCCCGGGGATGAGGGGTCATCAGAGCCCCCAGCATCTGCCCTCACGTAGTGTTCCTCTGTTCTGGGATTCCTAGAGTCAGAACCTGCTTCTTCTCTGAGTTCCGCATGACTACAAGTCCCAGCATGCCCCATCTAGAGATGATTGTAATCTGGAGTTCCCCCCAGCAGGAAGAATGGAGAATCTTGTAGAACTACAAGTCCCAGCATGCTTCATCTAGAGGTGATTGTAATCTGGAGTTCCCCCGTCAGGAGGAATGGAAAATCATCCTATAGAACTACAAGTCCCAGCATGCCCCCGGTATCCAGGACAGCCATGCC